TCTTTGCCTCTTGCCGTGACCCAAACAGTGCCATTTTTAATGACTGCTACCTGTCCTTGGGCTTGGAGCTTTTCAACTAGAGCTTCGTTCCTAGCTAGCTCTCTTTGTTGTATTTTTAAAGTGAAATCGCCAATACTCATGACAGGTTTCCTTGTTTCTTTTGGTGCGGCAATCCACATATCGATGTATTGCCGTATAGTTCTTCATAACGTTTCTCGGGTTTTGAGATAACGTTTATTTGGTTGAAAGCAGGTTCAGTTCTCCTTTCCATGTCGGACTGGGTAGGAGAGAGTGATCCTTCTTCATAATGAACGTCAGGGATAGGATGAGTGAAGTCTACCGACGCTCGCATTGATTCAGACCTTTTAAAAGATCTATTAATAGTGTTTACCGACCTTGTATCTGAAGATATACTCGGGCGGCTACTCATAACTTCTCTAATTCTGGGGTATCTTGCCTCAGAATTAAATTGTATTTCGACGTTTCCATCTGGAAATTCGGTAATTGATGCCTCCGTACTAGTTCTTCTGGCGGGGGTTGACACTCCTTGAAGTTCCAGATAGTGTTTCTGGAAATCTCGTCCCAACGAAGCGTCTTTGGAATGGTCATCGAAGATTTTTCGATATTGACTTCCATCAGCATGGAGTAACCTTTTGGAGAAACACCTAGAGCTTTTGGAGAAAGGTTGGTATGCATCAATTTCTAATAGATGCGATAAGAGACAACAAACGGGAGAGATCCGTCCTTTAGTTCTAATCCTTCAGAGTGAACATCTAGGCATAGGACGTCCATAATGTTTTTATCTTGAAGGGAGACGGTAAGACCGGGTTTGTAGTTGAAGTATACTGGGCCTTGTACCAGATTTGATTCAACGATCCCTAGAAAAGAGGGAGTAAAGTTGAGATGCCTCTTATCTCGTAGGGCGAGATAAACTGGGACATCTAAGCCTTCTCTGAAGAAAGGTTTCAAAGCAACTTGGACACATCCAATATCGAGATACTTGAATTTGTTCCTGACTTTGAAGAGGGTTTCTTTAGGGAGAAGAGTGATTTCGGTGAATTCATCCTTCATAGCAACGTTTTCTTCAGTGATGATGATAATATCTTGCTGGGAGAAATTGAAGGTATTTATCTTATGTACCTGATTTGGATCTATCTTGGGGATAGACCAATTTTTGAGACGGTCTTCAACCTTTGCCAGATGGACTTCGGCTGAATTATGCTCGGCTAATAGTTTTGAAAAATCATTTTCTGATTTTCGTTTGCTAGAGGAAGAGGAAGAAGAGGAAGCTGTGTCAACGATCGGTTGTGAGTGGGGGGAGATTTTCGAGAGAAGTTTGGAAAGCATGTGCTAGGTGGGTGTCCGGATATCCCGACATGTTGAGGTTGGTAGTGGGCGGGCCTAAAGGCAAGAGCATGGTCCAGCCATTGATCATGGGTCAACGACGGAACAAAGAAGTCAAGTAGGTTGTTCCTCCGTGTCCTACTAATTGCGTAAGTAAGAGAGTGGCTCTTCCCTTCTTTCTTTCAGGCAAGGAGGTCTCTCGAGCCTGCAGTTTGCTGCTATCGCCCGAGCAATAGACGAAGAGAAGAGGGGCTTCCCATTATACAAGATGCAAATCCAAGTATGAGAGGGAGAATCTGGAGATATCTAGGAGATGGAAATAAAATCTTAATAAGTTTACATTCTTTAATTTTGATAATAATCTATCTCTTAATTAAATCAAATTCTTCGATCAATCGATCTATATCCAACCATCTTCATATCTTTTAACTAGAGATTCTCAATCATGAAGGTTAACCATGCCTTTATCATGATTTCTGAGAATAGGTAGCTAGAAAATATCAAGAGATCGAACAAGAGAGATACCCGAATCTAATTTCATTACTAGATAGGTTAAGAATCAAAAGAAAATGATGTAACCTTAGAGCGATATTAGATCCATCTTCCCTTTCACCTCCAGACTCAGAGAGGAGTTTACTCCATGAAAGAAGAGAAGAGAAAATAACATGAGTATTATTTATTGAGTGTAACTTAACATGAGTATTATTTTAAATCTGATTATGTATATTTAGTTAATCATATAATGGTAAAATAAGAATCGGCGGAAAAGGTAATATATGTAGCCATTTTTTGGACAAACAATTAAAAAAACCTACATTCGTAAGGAAATTTATATAACCATAATATATCTTTTTTTTTTGGTACCCAACACTCTCGATTTGCCAACAGTATACATTTTAATAAATTAATTTATTACCATAGAATAATTAATTTTAGTACATTATTGGTAAAATTTTAATGTTGTTTTATTAATTATAAATTTAATCTAAATATTTTAACTAATTGTAATTAATTAATTTTATTTAACTAATTGTAATTAATTAATTTGAATAAGATAAAGTAAATAATTTATGAAAAAAAATATAGATAAGATTCTGGCACAGAATCCAGACAAACCCGAAAGGGAAAAGAAAGTCCTTTGGAATAAGGGAGGCCTGGGAATGAAACTATTATCACGAAAAGTTTTCAAATCCGGTAACAAAACAAAGATTTACTTGCTACGTCCATTCCCACCCAAAAAGCCCCAACCAAATGGTCCCTTAGGTACTTATCTGGGATCAAAAGTGATTTCAAATCCACATTCCACGTATATATTTGTATTAAAATAATAATAATAATAGTAAAGCCCTTGATTTTAAATATTAATTCATATAACTTTGGTAAGTACAGTGAATTCCACAATTGCATTGAGTTTATAGATCTGATTAATTGTTTTTCATATGCCATTAATTACGCAATTAACTTCTTTTTTAGTTCATTCAAAGAAAAAAAAGAAGAAGAAAAAACTTAATTTTTTTTTCAATATTTTTTACTACAAGTATGCAATTAATTTCTTTTTTCATCAATAATATTTTTGTTGTTCGTCAATAATATTTTGGTTTTTTTTTTTTGTTTTTCGTCAATAATATTTTTTGTTCTCAGAGGAAGTGTGGCTACTATATGATTTTTTTCTTCGATTATGTAGAGTACTTAAGTATTGAATATAGTATATGTAGAAATGCATTAATATCTAACTCAAATATAATTCAATAGATTTTTATTTTATTTTTATTTTTTTTGACAATATATACCTCCTTTTAAAAGTTATAGGTTCTAATTTATAGTACCTTTTTTTTAATAAAACATAGTACCCGTATTATAATATAATATTAACAAATAATAATAATATATTAGTATTTATACAATATATATGTATATTGAAGTTATGTATTTGAGCTACTCAAAGTTTAATGCGTGTGTGTATAGTTCATTACTTAATAAAAAAATTAATTAAATCAATATATTAGTACATGATCAGAAAAACTTTTCATAACCTTTTTATTAGTTATGTATAAATTTTTAATTTTTGTCGTTTAGTTATGATTATGTACCATATTGAATATAATAGGCTTAAAAAAATTTTAAATTTCAAATTTCAATAAGTTTTTCTTTTCCAACAAACTGAGAGATGTTTTTTTTTTTTTGGAGAAAACCAAATAAGCAAGGGTACTACTAAAAAAGATCAGCTATTAATTACGGAAAATTTTGAAGAATAATTTTTCATCAATTGTTTTTTCTTTTTCTTTTTTTATTTTTTTCCCATAAAACAATCATTTCTCCTCTTGAATTCTAAGTTACTAATTGACTCCATATGCAAATATATTAAATTACTTCAATGAATACATCATTAATCAGTTATACTTTGAGAGTTAAATTGTTGATTTGTCTTGAATGTTAAATTATTGATTCATCCTTGTCTTTGACAATGTCACCTTAAAGAATCTAGTTGAAACTTTTTTTTTTTTTTGAGAGGAAGAACCTAGTTGATTAAAGAGTTGAAAATTTTGTACCAAGAACATATTTTTAACCATAATTAATATTTTTAAAAAAATATATATATCTCGGTTATCACCAATAATAATGATAAGAATTATAAAAAGTAGATTGACTATATAATTTTTGTCCCTAATATTTGAACTATATTTTAGGCCTTCTTTTTAATTGTTTTTTTTTTTGAAGTTTCAATTTTAATCATTTTAGTTTAAAAAAATTAAGCCTTCTATTATCTCACTAAAACGTTAAGTTTTGCATTAAAATACATATTTTTAATTAAGGGTGAGTTACTTTTTCATATTAATTTAATAATTCAGTTAGACATTCTCACTACATAAAATCGAAAATTTACTAGTTAACATACTCAGCTAGAAATGGGTTCCTACCAATAGTCTGAAAAGCGTGCTGAAGAAGCGCTCTAATGGATGATGGTTATTATATATATATCCAATAGTCTGAAAAGCGTGCTGAAGAAGCGCTCTAATGGATGATGGTTATTATATATATATTTATATTTTTTTTTTCTTTAAATATAAAAAATTAACTTTATTATATGTTGTTCACTTCAAAAGAAAAAAGCTGCACTTTTGCTCTAGCAAAGATTGGAGACTAATACATTTTACTGCGTACCTCACACTTCATAAACAATATGGTAGTGGCCATAAAAATGGACTCATTTATATTAGCAATTGGTTAAAATTCAAAGAAAGCAATACAAAGTCAAAATCAAACATAGTAAACTAAGAAGAGTTGATATTAAATTTTTGGTGTCGAGGGAAATTCTCTCTATTGGATTCGTAAGGAATGTAAACAAAGTCTACAATAGCTAGGAAGGAGAAGGTTATGAAAATATATATGAGAGACAACTATCTCTATTGGTATGAGACGTTTTAGATGAAACCAAAATCAAAACAGTGAGTATTATGCTCAAAGCAGATAATATCATATCATTGTAGGAATGTAGTGAGTCTGTCGTCTGGATGAGCTCCCAACCCTCCCTTTATTTTAACTTAGATGAACATTGCATGACAAGTATTGTTTGATTAATTTGATGTTGATTAGTTTTATGTTTTTTCTTAATCCATGTTTTCATATTGACACAATAATGGTGTTTAAATTTGTAGGCAACGTAACTAAGATGGCAAAAATTCCCATCTTTTTGATGGGGGTTTTGCTTTTGTGCTTCAGTGAAGCGCTGGCGAAGCCTCACTACTTGAGATATAAAGACCCAAAACAGCCATTAAATGTTAGAATAAGAGATCTACTTGGTCGGATGACCCTTGAAGAAAAGATTGGCCAAATGGTGCAAATTGACCGAACCGTTGCTTCAAAGGAGGTTATGAAAAAGTATTTAATTGGTAATCTCATCCTTCTAATCTTCTTACTTCCTTTCGAAATATATACGATACATAAAAAGAAAAGAGAAACATAAATAATTTACGTCCATGGATCCATTTGATAACAAATTCGTTTAGAGTTTTATATTTTAGAAAATTATGTTACGTGAATTTAAAAAAAGTTAAAATTTAACTTAGATATTAAAAAGTAGATAATAAAATAGAAAAATATATACACAATTGCAAATATGACAAAAAAATTTAGTAAAATTAGTAAAATAACATACACACATTTAGTTTTTTTAAATATAGCACTTTAGAAAAAAACGGAGGTCCAATTTTAAAATGACAACTTTATCTAAATGATATATATTTGTAATATATCTATAATATATCTGACTACTGATATATATATATATTTTTGATATATATTTGTTATACTACTAATATGAATATTTAATATACTTGTAGTATGTATGTGATATACATATGATATACTACTGAGTTTGAGTATCTATGCCGTATGTATGTGATATACATTTAAAATACTGAGTACCTGATATACTCATATAAGTGAAAAAATTTGAAAATTTAGAAAATAGGTAACAAAAAATACATAAAAATTTTCCTAAAAATTTATAAGTAGAAGAAGCGTAATTAATTTCAAATTGGTATATTGATATAGGGAGTGTACTGAGCGGCGGAGGCAGTGTTCCTGCAAAAGAGGCATCTCCAAAAGTTTGGATTGATATGGTGAACGAATTTCAAGAAGGGTGTTTGTCAACTAGACTTGGTATTCCAATGATTTATGGGATTGATGCTGTACATGGTCACAACAATGTTTATAAGGCCACAATTTTTCCTCATAATGTTGGCCTTGGAGCCACCAGGTAAGATTTTATGACAATTTTACCCCTTTCTTTTCCGTAAAACCAATAAAAGATTTACAATAAACGAGATCAGGCTATACATTAAACTAAAAGTTAACTTTTAAATAATAAGATCACACAATGTGGTAACACATTTAGGACGTATTGGATAGTAGAAAATAATTACGTCCTGAACTAGTGAGAACTTATGTTGTACCTACCATCACTAAATAACAGAAATGTCGAAATAGAGAATTCTTTTAAGAAAATGAAGAATTATCAAATTTCAGTGATGATGGATAAATAATCCCCATGAGTTAACACATCTAAGTATTTTTTTTTTCTGATGGGTAGAGATCCCGAGCTTGTTAAGAGAATTGGAGTGGCTACTGCACTCGAAGTCCGAGCTACTGGCATTTCTTATGTCTTCGCACCTTGCATAGCGGTAACAACAATTGATTTATTTATGTTAATGATTTATTACAAATAATTATCCTTCTAATCTAAAAAATATGATTTATCTTTTTACTTAGGTTTGTAGAGATCCACGATGGGGAAGATGCTATGAAAGCTACAGCGAAGACCCCAAAATTGTTCAATCGATGACCGAAATTATATCAGGTTTACAAGGAGAAATCCCAGCCAACTCTCGGAAAGGCGTTCCTTATGTTGCAGGAAGGTACACATTTACGATTTTGACGAGTATTTATGGTTAAAAAACAGGTTTCGTCTTTGTAATTTTGTTAAAGTAACATATTAGTCTCTGAAATAACAATTTAGTCCCTATAATTTCAAATTGATAACAATTTAGTATTTGAATTTTAATACATAATGATTTAATCTTTTTAAAGTTTAAAATTTGTAACAATTTAGTTTCTACCGTGAAATATCTCATCAAAATTAAGTGTTGATTTTTGTTATATAACAATTTGGTCTTCATAATTTATAAATATATTTGGCCCTTCGTCGAGTTATGTATCTACATATATAAGAAACTTAACAAAAAAATTTTAGGAGACTAAATTATTACAAATTTTAAACTAAAAAGATTAAATTGTTTATATAATAAAGTTAAGCGACGTAAATGTTACTAATTTTGAAGTACATAGCTAAATCATTATAAATTAGTCTTATGTGGGATAACACACACTGAGAATAGCCTTGGGCCTTGTGGTATCATCTATCATAAGGTCTTAAGTTCAAGTCTTTCTACTGGTCACGTGTTGTTCAGTCAGGCAACGAGTCTCCATTATAGGTATCCACAACGTAAACTACACGGTATCGATTTTTTCAGAAAATAAAAAAAGAATCCTTACAAAATAAAATTTAAGGATTAAATTGTTACTTTTAGGAAACAATATGGACGAAAAAGTATTTTTTAACGGATATTTATTCTATAACTTTTCATTTTACTCCACTTTTATTGGTACAGAGAAAAAGTAGCAGCTTGTGCAAAACATTTTGTAGGTGATGGTGGAACTACCAAGGGGATCAATGAAAACAACACAGTCATAAATAGACATGGACTGCTTAGCACTCACATGCCGGGCTACTATAACTCTATCATCAAGGGCGTATCAACTATTATGATCTCATACTCTAGCTGGAATGGAAAGAAGATGCATGCTAATCGAGAACTTATTACCGACTTTCTCAAAAACACTCTCCGTTTCAGGGTAATACAATATGCTCTTATTCGTGAAATATTGTGGTTCTGGTTAAGGATCTTATATTGAAAAGATCAAAGAAGTCGATACTATAAATATTGATATTGAGATGGTATTAGAGTCTGGCAAGATCAAATAAGAATAAAAAATTAAAAGGATTCGACCAGGATTGGCGAGCCCAAAAAGCTACCCTCTTGAAAGGATATTGTTTGACATGGAATCGTATGAATATTGAGAGTTTTCTCCTCGATATACATAGTCGTAAAGATTGTACAAATATTTTTGTTGTTTCAGGGTTTTGTTATCTCAGATTGGCAAGGCATTGATAGGATTACCTCTCCACCTCATGCAAATTATACATATTCCATTATAACAGGAGTCACTGCTGGTATTGACATGGTAAAAATTTGTATTATTCATGTTTAAAAATGGTCACACTCATTTGATATTATTTATTAATTAATTTTTTTTTTGTTACAGATAATGGTTCCATTCAATTACACAGAGTTCATTGATGGCCTCACTTACTTGGTAAAAACCAATGTAATTCCCATGAGTCGAATTGATGATGCAGTAAAGAGAATTTTACGAGTCAAGTTTATTATGGGTTTGTTTGAGAACCCATTAGCTGATCAAAGCTTTATCCATCAACTCGGTAAAAAGGTAAATTATTATTTACATAGAATGTTACTCTTAATACTAAAATAAGAACAAAAAATAAATGGAAGTTTCATGACTGTCTTAATATTTTTAAGAACAGGAGCATAGAGAATTAGCTAGAGAAGCAGTAAGGAAATCACTAGTGCTGTTAAAGAATGGAGAATCTGCTGACAAGCCAGTGCTTCCTCTCCCAAAGAAAGCACCAAAAATACTTGTTGCTGGTAGCCACGCAAACAACCTTGGTTTTCAGTGCGGTGGTTGGACAATTGAATGGCAGGGTCTTGGCGGCAACAACCTTACTACTGGTACATATTTTACCTATAAAACTCAGTTCCATGACTTATTTTATTTTATTAAGAATAAAATACTATTTTAATCTCTGTTCATTTTATTCTCTATATTTTTAAAATATTTATTTTGATCGCTAGGCTTTTAACCTTAGTTTATTTTGTTTCTTTATACCCTTATTTTCAAAAAGTTGGTTGTAATCCCTCGACTTTTAAAGAGGGATCATGTTGGTGTCTTAGTGATATTGTTAGTCTTATTTTTTATATCATAATTTCAACACTACTACTGCACTTAAATATATTTCTTGAAGGTGTTTCCTATTATGTGTAGATTTTATATTAAAATTTTGAAAATCAAGAACAAAATAGTAATGTTCTAAAAGTAAAAGGGACCAAACAAACATTAAAATAGTATTCTAACTTTTTTTTTCTTCTAATTTTTAAAATGAAACTTGTATCAGGTACAACAATCCTCTCGGCAATCAAAGATACAGTCGATCCTAAAACAGAAGTCGTCTTCGATGAAAATCCAGATGCAGAGTTTGTCAAGTCAAACAAATTTTCTTACGCCATTGTTGTAGTAGGAGAACATCCATATGCAGAAACTTTTGGAGACAGCTTGAATTTAACAATTGCTGAGCCTGGTCCAAGCACCATCACGAAAGTGTGTGGAGCAGTCAAATGTGTGGTTGTAGTAATTTCAGGGCGGCCTGTAGTTATCCAGCCTTACACTGCTTTAATAGATGCACTTGTTGCTGCTTGGCTTCCAGGAACCGAAGGCAACGGCATTACTGATGTGTTATTTGGGGATTATGGATTTACTGGAAAACTTTCACGAACATGGTTTAAGACAGTTGATCAACTGCCGATGAACATTGGCGATCCACATTATGATCCTCTGTTCCCATTTGGATTCGGGCTTACTACCAGTCCTGTTAAAGCCAATTAGAGGTGTTGTTTTGCCTTTATTGTAATGTCTAGGGAGATTATGCAAGCCTAATTATTAAGAGGCTGTTGTGGCGCAATTATTGAATAAGAGATGCTTTCTAATTAGTTGATCAATATGATGATAATTAGGCAAATTTCGTATTCTCGTTTGTCAAGTTTAGTTCGTTTGCTATTGTTGCTACCTTTGGGGAAATTGGCTCAAATTACCTCCAAAAACTTTTGAAATGCTCAAATGACCCACCCCTTTAATTATGCCCAAATGACCCACTTTTAACATTGATGATGTGTCAGAAGCAGATGAAATGACCAAAATGCCATTAAATGTAACAGGTGACCGCTGGAATAATTCCCGGCCGAGGTAGAAAAATTCCCGCCCGAGGTAGCTTCAATGCACGACAAAACCAATTTAATGCACACCGACTTGTACCTTAGTAATCAGTACATGCCATTACTAATCCCAGAGAACATATGTCCTTATCGTAAATATTCTCTCTGCACAATCCTAAAAAATCTGAAAAGTATTGTGAATATTCTCTTTAGAAGTTTCAAGATTTTGGGAGAAGTAGTTCTTTATTTTTTATGCTTTCTCCTTTTGCGCGTTAATCTTGCTTGATTCTACATTTGAACACATGTGTTTTTATTTGATCCTCGTTTGGTTTATTTTTGTTATAGTCGGAGTAACAATAACTATTGTTATTTTGTTTTAAACCCATATGTTCATTCCTCCTGCACTATGCGTTCTAATTGTCGGGTTATTCTCGAGCGAGGTGATATGATTATCGGCCGAGATTCATGTTTTTAATGAACCTCGGGCGAGGTACTAAACTTTCTCGACCGGGGTCAGAG